TTGCATACATTACAACATTTTAGAATTTATTTCGTTCGTTCATAAAATTTTATACATTCAATTTTTTTAAACAGTAATAATTATTGGTTGTTTCACATAATTATACAAATAGTTTATTTATTTTGATCAAAACTAATGTTTTTCTATGAAAATTCTATAAATAAAGTAAAAAATTGATGAATTTTATATTTTCGTAAAGTAATTTATCACCCAGTTAGGAATAAATTAGTCATTTTTCGTTTTTTACTATATTATTATACCCAGTTTATACAAAATGGGCAAGCTTTAGCTAGTATTTTCAATAAATATTACTATAAAGATCAAAATGTTTTATTTATACTTTATTGATACGCATTATTCACCATTCAATATATCAAAGTTAAATTTGTTCTTTTGCTATTATGTAGTTGGATAGATTTATTTTACTTCGGGGTTCAGGGTCGTAAGCGTAAAACATCCTCTACGGAACAAATTTAAAATTGACGACTTATAAAAGTTAAGATAAAAGTAACAAAAGTTAATAAATTCTCTTTTTATCCAGGTAATTATAAAGATGGAAGAAATAACAGAAATGTCTTCAATATTTCAACAATGCTCCCTCTTAGTCATAGAATTAGCGGAATAAGTAGTCTTTTACATATTTAAATATCTAAAAGATACCGAATTAAACGTGTGCAGACAAGTGTGTAGGGAATGGAGCGATATCGTTGAAAAAATTACGTTTCATAAAATATCAATGGTCTCTTTTTCCGAAGTTCCGCAATTCGAATAATAAAAATAAATAATTCATAATTAAGTCGGTTCTATGTTAAAGTCTATTATTTGTCTACATTGTTCGCATTTTAAAACGAGAAAAGAACCGAAAAATATAAATTTGACTAGTAGGATAGAATTCATTTGAAATGTGATTTGAATATCCGATGGAAGCGAGTAATTGATAGCTTTTATTGTAAGTAGCAAAGTAATTCACGCGTCTTCCGCGTTCTTAACAATCTTAAAATAATTGTTTTCTTTCAGAATAAGTATTTTTTTAATTCCTTTATTAACCGCAACTGGCAATCTTTCTGTATGTATGGATGGATGTAGTGTGTATGAGGCACGATTTTCTTCATCCGCTTTGAAGCTTAACTCCTGTGCCTTTTGTCGAAAATTTCTGAAATTTGTGTATTAAGATATTCTGGTAAAACTTGACTTGTAAAGGACCGCAATCATTACAAATTTGTCTTCAGATTTTAAAAAGTACAAATAACATTACTTTAGAATCAATGAATGGTTCGACATTTTTATAATTTTATTCATTAGAAAAAGCATTATTTTAACTTTAAAAAGTTCAAATAATCCTGTTTATAAAAAACAATTTTATAAAATAATCTTATCTGAAATATTTCAAACCGATTAACGTTATTACGTAACACGTGACGCAAAAATATGACTTGATCGTAATACGTCACGTGTTCTTAACAATATATTCCAACAATACGTAACGAATTGTTAGAATGTGTTGTTGGCTTTTCCTATCGTAAGTGGTTTAAGCGTAAATTTGTTAGAAGATTTCACGTTTTTTCTTCCTTTCTTTCAGATTTACCGAAGAAATTGTGATTATGTAAGTATACTTGAGGATTGTACGACAGGCAGAGAGGGTTTTCTGTGTACCGCTTATTTAAGGCCCACTTGGGTGAAGAAAGACAAAAACGGCTCTTCTTCTTCTAATAGGTTAATATGGAGATGTTAGCTCTTTGCGTCCTGCATCTCTAGTTATGAAGTAAAGTCTCCATGTACTGTACCTGCTTTAATTTTAAAACCAAAATAAAAAATTATATTTTGTTTAAATATCGGATTTATAATGTTTGTAATTTAATAAAATTATTTTATAAATTTAACAAAACGTTATATTTATACACCGAAAGTATGTTTATTGTTCAAATAGCTGAATAGTTTAAATGGAATAAAGAAAATAAACACAGCAATTTTAATATGTATTTCTTTGCTAATATTAAATGTAAGTTGTTATTTTTCTATTTTGTGTCTATATTATGAATCCTTATTGCAGTGTGGTGAAGCCTGTGAACTCCTCGGAATAAAATGTTTTTAATACAGTTAATCTATATATATATATAAATGGACATGTATGTCCCTATATCTCACTTTTTCGCCAAAACTACACATTGCACGTGAATGGTGTTTGTATGTGGTGGTAGCCCCAAGTCTCCATTCGTGCATAGGGGTGGTTGCGTCTCGATAGCTATAAGGGTGCAAGAGATATGAGGCTGAAAGTGGTTGAAAGTGGCTTTCTATTTCGAATGTTTTGTTCGATTTTTTCGAAATTTTTCGAATTAAATTCGAACATAAAATTCGAATTGGTTCGATTATAGAACGATTGAAAACGTTCCAGAAACGTTCAAATTTGTTCGTTTGACTAAACGTAAAAAATTTCTAATTAGTCTGGAAACGGGAGACCTAATTCTTGCATTTTGTGAAAACGGGTAAGATTAGCTATGATGTAATTATCTTAATTGTCACTATCGTTACTTTTTGCCCAGCGAAGCGGGTCTTGCAGCTAGATTCTAGATTACTTAGAAAAACAGTCTTTTATATATATATATATAAAACTATACTATTACATACAAATAAAAACCCAGCGAAGCGGGATCTTGCAGCTAGTAAATAAATAAATTTGTCGGTTTTGTTTACATGTTTATTGGGCCGCATTGGAACTTGCCTTGGCCACATGCGGCCCGCAGGCTGCGGGTTGAATACCCCTGTTCTAGATCATCAATATTGTAAAAACAAAAAGATTTTTTAAGAATTAAGTATGTATGAATTACCAAAAATCTTTATATTTATCACAATAAAAATTGAAATGTTTTAAACAATTTTATAAGAAAATGCATCAAGGTAAAATAAATACTTTATTTTTAAAAATAGTCTACAGGTATCCCTCATACAACACAGTACTTCTACAACACTGTTTTGTTCTAACACAGTTTGAAAATTGGGGATATCCCCTGTACAACACAACTTCCAGTTTCATTTTAATACAGTTTTGGAAATCCATCATACAAAATTTCATGATTTTTAAGTGTAAACTTCGTTATTCAATATTTTTTTTATTCAAATAAGCATGTGTGTTGCCTCAAATTTGCCCACACATTTTATAATATTGAAATTTTCAAATTATTTTGTGCTTTTCATCAGGTTTACTTTAATGAAAACTAATAGGACAAGGAAGAAAAAATTGCACTAACTTTCCTATCAACCAGGTGTTCTCATCGTTGCTTTCAGACTTTAGCCTTTAAGACTGTCACTGTGTTTTCTTTCTGTAGTAATATTAATCTTCGTATTTAGTAAAATTTATTTAAACATTTTTAGATAAGTGTTATTAAACTTTTTTCAACTATAGGTAAGCAATCATTTGTAAAATGACAAATGAAATAAAGCAGTATCTCGGTACTTCAATTATTCAGTATTTGAAAACAAATTCTGGAAAAAAGTAGCTTGGTACAGTACTTAACTGGACAAACATGACCCATTAGAACAAATTTCTGATTAATAACATATTTTTATTTCATCATCCATAAAAAATTTTTATGATAAAAAATAGCAAAATGTTGCTGATACTTCTGATCAAGATCAACAAAAAAGTTCAGAAGATGACAATACTTTGTAAAAAGAAAATGTCCTCATTTAACTAAAATTAATATTAATGTCCAATATAGTACTTTTACTTGTAATTGTTAATTATTGATTTGAAATAAATTATTGATTGCTTTAATAAACATATTTTTCTTAGTAACAAAAAAATAGTATATTTTTGCTCACTTCTGGAACATAATCTCATGTTTTGCATTAGTCCTTTGTTTCATATAGCACAAATTCACATAACATGTCACTTTTTTGGAACATAACTACTGTGTTATACAAGAGATACCTGTATTTATAAACATAATTTATTTAATTCATCTATAAAACACTTACTTTTTCAGTTCTTCCAATTCATAACATTCTTCCTGCAATAAATCATGTGGATTGATCATACACTGTACTGGAACACATGACGATGATGAGGAAGATAAAGAAACTTCTTTATTAGATACTGTACTTTCAGTTCCTTGTCGATTAGTGTAAGTAGTTGTCAATGGAATAATAGTTAAATCTGTAGGTATTTTTGAGGTAGGTGATGTAACAGGATTACCTATTGGTGAAACATTTCCATTGTTACTGTCTGAAATTCCTTCACTTGATGATGTTCCATTACTATGAGGTCTGGAAAATGATTGTGAATTAGACTGATCACCCACTTTAAAAGAAGACTGCATGGGTGGGGTCAAATCTGATCTCAGAGTATTTAAAATTCCATTATTTACTTGACAAGAATTATTTGAATTTGGCATATTTGTATATTTATTAATACCAAATCCTAAGGTACTGTTATTGACTGGTAATTCATTAAAAGAACTTTCATAATTCTGGCTATTATTATTATTCTGAGGTAACAATTTATTGGAAGTGTCAGTTTTTCCTAATTCTCCTTCTAGCCGATCAAGTTGCTCAAATGCCATAACAACTTGTTCTTTTGTAATTCCACTATTACGCAAACGACGAATTAATTCAACTTGTTCAATAGTAAACAATGCATTTGCCATGGCTGCCAGTTTTAGTTTTCTTTCTAATGAATGCTTGTTTCATTCTAGATAACAAAAAACAAATAAGTTTTAATAATATTATTTATACTTTATGTATAAAATAATCTACACCACTATATGAATAATATATCATGTAACTATAGTTTATTTCAACAAATTATGTTATGTTTTTATATAACATAATTTAAAGCTAATGACTCCAAATGACTACAAAATGGAGTGATATAAATAATTATTTACTCTCTGACACGATGGGTGTAAAGTATTAACCTTTTAGCAGAGAGGGAACAAAAGAGGCACAACCTTGTCAAATTGGACCCACGTGCGGTCGGGTAATACCACTTGTAAGGTATTGACTTGTAAACAAGGGAAAACAAAGGAAGCGCCGGCTTTGTCAATTGGACCCACCTGTAGTCAGATGTTAGACCATTTGCCATATGGTAAACAACTGAATGTAAACAAGTGGCGGACATTTATGTAAGCTTCACTCTCGTCGGATGACGGCAGACCCGAGTGTAAGCTGTTCAGGCAAGAAGGAGTTGTGATTGGTCGGTGGTCCCATCCAAAATACTCTTAAATTGCGGGGCGAACGAGAGAGGAAGAGTGAAGGGCAAAAGACTGGTACACGGTAGTCTCAGGCACTTGGAAGGCCTGCTGAGTGTAAAGAGAGTGTTCTCCTCTGGTAAATATCTCAGGGACGAGTTAGTGCGGAGACTGGACAAACTGTGCAGTTGAGCCAACTCCATGAGCTGACTGAGGCCGCTTCAAAGTTTAAAAGTTCCCAGAAACCAAGCTAGTACGTGAGTCACCACGCATTGTTACCCTGTAATTATATATTACATTTTCGAACCTGTACCTTCTACGTATAGAATCTGTAAATAAACTGTAAATATTATCAATTTGGGTGTGGAGGTGTGCTTTCCATCAAACCTGGATCACTACATCAAATCGTGATACACACGGAAACCAACCCAACGAGACGGAGTTGGGAAAGAAGTGATCTTAGTGAAGATCTTAGTGATGTTCATCACTAAGATCTTCACTATGGGGTAAGGAATGTAAGAATGCAAACAGAGAGGGAATGATTGTGATAAATGAACAACATGACTTGTTAATGATAAGCAATTGATTTGCAGCTATAGTAACATAGAAATTACTATACAACAAATAGATATCTATTTAAAAAAATTCCAGCAACAAAGTTGCATAACTTTTCCAGAAGAAAATTTAAAATTGTGTATGTTATATTTTATTTTAAATTTTTTTTATATTATTAATTATTATAAAATGGCAAAAAGCTTATTTTGAAGGTAGAGATGAGTTTTATAAAAAACTGTAAAGGCTAATAATGAATATCTTCATTAAGTCTGACCCCACTCAAGATATGACATATGATTCCCCTCTATCTTCCCACCAGCTTGACCTTTAATCATCAAAAACCACCAACACGACACTTCTACAATAAGGTTTGAAAATTGGGGATACTCCCATACATGGTTTTTGGTTTTGCTCTAACACTGTTTGAGAATTTGGGAAATCCTCTGCACAAAATTTCACAACTTTTAAGTGAAAATTCCTTTATTCGATAATTTTTCATTCAACTAAGCATGCATGTCATCTCAAATTTGTCCACAGATTTTAGAATATTGAAATTTTCAATTCATTTTGTGCTTTTATCAAGTTTACTTTAATGAAAACTGATAGTAGAATTTCTTTCTTACTTTCCTATCAACCAGGTGTTGTTGTTATTGCTTTCAGATTTTACCCTTTAAAACTGTCACTGTGTTTTGTTTTTATAGATTAATCTTTGAATTTAAATGTTTTAGGTAAGTGTTATTAACCTTTTCTTAACCATAAGTAAGTAATCATAAACAAAAATGACAAATGAAATACAGCAGTATCTCGATACTTGAACTGTTCCAAACTCTAACAATTTGGTATTCAAACATAAATTTTGGGAAAAATTGCTGTCCTCAATTGAACAAACACACAACCCACTAGAACAAATTTTTGATTAATAACATATTTTTATTTTGTCATAGATAAAATTTTTATGGTAAAAATAAGATGATGTTTCTGATATTTCTGATCAAGATCAACAAAAAAGCTCAGAAGATGACAATACTTTGTAAAAAGAAAATGTCCTTGTTTAAATAAAATTAATATTAACACATAATACAGTATTTTCAATTGTAATTATTAAATAATTATTGATTGGAAATAAATTATCGATTTCTTTAATAAACATATTTCTTTCAGTAAAAAAAAAAAGTAGTATACTTTGCTAACTTTTGGAATGTAACACCATATTTTGCATTAGTCCTTTGTTTCATACAGCATGGATCTGCATAACATGGCACTTTAAAATTTTAATACCTTAACAGCATCATATTACTTGTTAAGGTATTAAAAATTTAAAATAAAATAAAAAATAATTGTTTTTTATGAGTAAAATAGTTTTAATTAAAAAAGTGTATCATTCTCCACAGATTTCATTTTCTAATTTATAAGTAAATTCAAAAAACTAAACTTTAACTATCAAAGTAAACTGTCAAATCAAATAAGTATTGCTACTACCATAGTTTTAATATTTTATGACACCATAGTTTATTCATAACATGAAACTGTTAATATCAAAATCAGCCTTATTTTAAAAAATTATTGTTCATTTTTTCAATCTGACTTAAAGTATTATAAGAATGATCTGTTATTTTCATGGAGAACTATTTTTTCTTTCCATATATTAGAGCAGGGGTGTCCAACCTTTTTGTTTCTCTGGGCCGCATTGGAAGAAGTCAAGGAGTTTTGGGTCACAAGTATATATAATATATACTTGTGGCACAATATACAAGTATATTTAAGGATTAACATGTCTAGATTATAATAATAAGTATTAAAACTTTATCATGAAACAGGATATTTTAAAAAATTACTTCTACAGTCACTTTCAATTTTTACTTAGAAATATATAAATTCATTTATTTGATAAAATGCAAATATTTGGTTTATTTGAGTCTCTGATTAATAAAAAGCGACGAAACACCATTTTAAAGTGCATTTTTATTCAACTAATATATTTATAAATGATATGTAGCCCCGAAAGTAGCCAAAGCGCCAAATAATATTTTTTTACGTTAAACTAAAAAAAGTAGCCACATTTGGCGCAATGTAGCCAAATCTTGCAATGCTGGAAGAAATACTAAATAAAGCTGGAGTTTTGACTCAAAGGATTATAGAGCCAAATTCGGAAAAAGAAGAGAAAGGACAAAAGATAAAGAAGTGAGAAAGGTTGGAAAATTAAGACTCAATATTTGCCTAACAGAAGAACTATTTAACCTTTCTGACAACTTTTTATCTTTTGTCCTTTCTCTCCTTTCACCATATTTGGGTCTATAATCCTTTGAGTCACAACTCCAGCTTTATTTAATAATCCTTCCTCATTCACACATCTCCAAGTACATGAAAATATTTCATTTCCACTCAAAACTAAAATATGAATAAAGGTTTATGGCTTTGTGAAACTTCTTTTCTGAGTTTATGCCGTTGAAATAAATAAATAATAAAAAAATTAAAACATTTGTCGGTTTTGTTTACACCTTTATTGGGTCGCATGCGACCTGCGGGCCGCGGGTTGGACACCCCTGTATTAGAGGATAGTTTTGTGATTGATTTGTTAATTATATATACATAAGTAATAATAAGCCAGACTGTTACAGACGGACCTGCCTGTTATTGAGTTGTCAAACATAAGTGAAGAATGGGAATGATTAGTCAACCTATACTACCTATAAAATAATTATGAAAGTCCAGTTCATATTCAAATTGACAAACATCTTACTACACAGTAATTTGATTGATGGACATTTTATAATTTTTCTATTATAAGTAAATATATAAAATTTTTACAATAACTTTTATTTCATTTTTTGTATTAATATACTGTATTAATTACTTAATCAAGTTAAACTAACTTTATAATGATTAAAAATCAAAACATATATTCATTAGGATGTTGATGTGAATAATGACAATAAACATTTTCAAAACTTCTTTGGTCTTAGAATAAGATCATTCAAATTTATTCAAACACTTTAGAAACATTTAGTTTTACAGTAGTTCTCATCTAAAAAAAAAAAAACTAATTTTATTTATAATTTTCCCAAAGTTAAAAAATTTTAAATTTAAACAGTTTTTCCTAGAGATTTCAATACACAAAACATTTTGAAATAATTATGCTGAAAATTCAATGTTATTGATCTAATGTTGCTTTTTATTGGTCAAAAAGTTGTGGAAAATGCAATAAGATGCATCTCATATTCTTAATTGAGAAATTTTTAGAGGATAACAGAATTAGAAAAGTTTTGTCTCAAAAAAAATATAGAAATAAAGTCACCCAGTGGTTCTTCCCAAGAAAGGTTTTAGATGGTTGATCTGTAATGTTAGCTGGATGCTACTGAAAATGTTCTCAAAAACCTTAGTTGATGATGATAAAATAATATCCATCCTATAACACTCAACAGCACTCTAATCCATAGTCTAATTATATTTAAAAAATAAATAAACTGAAAATACTATATTTTTAACAAGATGGGAAAATATTTTAAGTGGTTGGCTGATCAGTTAAAACAAATTTCAGAAAACCCTGCCAGCTTTCATAAGAAGCCTATTCTAAAAATGTAATAAACTTACCTCTGCTAAAATCTTAACTAAAGTTCTTAATGTTGAATTCTAGTGACCTATATAGAGATATAGTTCCTCATTACATGGTATCAAATATTGAAAATAGACTAATTTTTGTAAGCTACAATATAATAACATATACATAAACCCAATTCAATTAGTAAATAATCCAGTAGTTCATTTAGCACTAAGATACCTAAAATACAATGATAATCCATATAATTTTACACTCTAACTCACAAGTAAAATAGTTTACTTTTCAACAAGCATATTTTTAATATGAATTTTATTTATAAAAAAAGTACGGTATTAAAAATTTAAAATAAAATAAAAAATAATTGTTTTTTATGAGTAAAATAGTTTT